TTCCGATCTGCGCGCACTGCAACGTCTTACGGATTCATACTATCCGGCCTTCACTATGGCGGTTTAGACAGAATGTAAATCTGTTGGATCTGGTGCGCTCTCTATGGTCGCCAAAAGTACCACAAATCTGGGGATCCGAACCTAAGAGTTAATGTCGGAGGAAGATAGTAAGGAAAGCCCAACCGCATGTGGATAGTAACGTGCACCGATTGTCGAGGTTCTGCCTATTTCAAGACAAGTACATCCTCACCAATGTATTAAACGTCATCTATGCCTGCCAAACTACGTGAGTAACGGTGACCTGAGCGAGGACTGCTGCAGTGGAAATAACTTGTCCCAATACTGGTCACTGTCAAGACAGGTGGGCGTAACCATTGAGCAGAAAGTTACTTGTACCACGACGCGCCGCTATCTCTTATGCGAAAGGTGTGCACATCATAGCTCAGATATGGAACAGGCCATAGCGTGGTAAAATAAAAAGAGAGGAGCTGTGGGCGATTCTAACGTCTCTTGAGCGGTTACCGCTACCCCACCATCAGCCGAATGCAGGTCAGCGGTGTGAAATCACCTTTGCTGCGCATAAGCCGGCGTTAGAGGAACACGCTATTAGGACGCATGACGAATCATCTTGGACAGGGGGAGTGGGGAGACCATTTTATGGCCGGCGCCAGCTCTTTTATGCCAGTCAATCCACGTCCTAGCCACCCCCGAACGATTCTGGGTTAAAAGCGTGAATTTTCACCAAAAAACCCCATAACCTCGTGACCTGATCGAGGCACGCGTAGTGAAACACATAAAAAGAGCGTTGTCATGAGCCTGGCACCGCAGTGAAAGGGTTTGGGAGGGGGAGGGAGGGGAGAGGAATCGCGGAGACCGTGGGAGACGCGGTGGGAAGTAAACGCTGCTGTCAATGCAGCACGGATTTGAGGTTCGAGGATTTACATTAGCAGCAGAAAACCACGGAGTAGCAAGGTCTCCACATATCTACGTATATTGTTTCCCACCAAACACAAACACAAAGACATTGGCTCGAGCCAGAGTGCCGTCTCGCAAAAGTAATTGATAAGACTTCAATTGTACCTGCTTCAGCCAGTTTTGATGTCGCGAACAGGCTCGGGGCGCGACGAACAGCGTAGCTGGCGCTATGATCTTCTCCAGCAGTGAGTTCCGAGTACTGTCTTCGTTTCCTGGCGAACAGGCACAGCTGACCCTTCGGCCGTCTCAAGTTCAGCCGCGACTGCGACGTCGGTTTCAGGACAACAACGTACTCATGTGGCGGAAAACAAGAAGTGCCAAAACGAACTTAGACGAATTTTTGATATTGTGAGATAACTTTTTAATGTTGCTATAACGAGTGCAGATTATACTGTTCAAGATGAAGTCCGCGAACCTAACTCGGAGGTTCTTCCACACGTGACTGTGGGCGAAAACTCCCTCGCACTATATCCGCAAGGTCCAGCATTCTAAAACGCAGATGGGTACTACTTGAATAGATGACACGCCGAGTTCTGTGGTGGTTTACATATCCACTGAAAACCTCGAAGGCCTGAAAAACGCCTGCGAGCAGGATGCCCACGAAGATGTCGTCCGTACTTTAGCCCTTTAGAGACAACTTTGCCTCGGGATATTGGAGACTGTTTTATTCAAGACGCGAAGAGTGCCTGGCGTTCGACAAGTAGCCACCCGTCGTTCACGCCGTTACACTAACAGTAGATGGATTTTCGGAAGGTCTGTTCACTGTCAACACGCCGACTGATCAACCCCGACTAAGCCGACATATTGTCCTGTTAGCGTTAAGTTAGGACTAAAGGCAGAAAATAGCACCTTTGGTAAACGAGTTCTAGAAAGCCGGTTGTGGCATAGCTGTGGCGTAGACATGTGTGACTACACAGCTAATGCTGTTGTTACTACTACTAGGACTACTACTACGGATACTGCTACTACTAGGACTACCACTACGA